TAGAATCTAGCATAAGTAATAAGAATTTTATATTCTTATACTTATAATAAGGATTGGGAGCTGTGAAATGAGTATGATTGGAAATGTGTTCATTTGATCTATTTCACAAAGTAAGGACCGTAGGTAAACATTGTGTGCATGCTGAGAGCATGGGACAAGTGTAGTAATAATTTAAGTAAGAAGTTGATTACCTGAAACAACAAATAATGAGTAATCAATATGGTGATTAAATAAAATGTTTTATTTATACCCAGAGTTTGTGGCCATATGAGATTAGTATTATTCTTGTGTTTCACTTTGCATGTTTTGACTTCCTGAATAATTAAATTGGTTCAGAAAAATCAAATTATTCGAACGGACCACAATCGTTCATATGTTGGAAGTAGGTATGAATGAAGATTGTAGTGAATTGGTGTGTGGATTGTCTAAAGTGTATTAGACATAAGCAAATGTTTGCTGCAACGTTCATGAGTGCTTATGAATATGATCTGAGCATTGGATTAAACCCACGCTCACTTTGATCACTTCATGGATTTTATCACGATTGATTGGTGAGATGATAACATCTTATATTCTTGAGACCAAGATGTGCGAGTTGTATCTTGTGAGTCGGTTACACATTGATAATATGTAAACGCACCAGTAACTTGATGTCATAAAACATATTGTTGTGTGTGATTCGGTGAGTGAGTGCAAGCAAGCATTGAATCAAAGTTTATTCATTCCTTTTATCCAGAGTAGGATGAAAGCGATATATGTGGGCCCCTCGATGATTTAGTGATGGCACCTAAGCGCTTGGCCAAGCCGGGACTAATTTGATGTGTTCAAATGTAGTCTGTTGTCGTTCGTCATAAATCAGAAATCGAGAAACAACACATAGATAGAGAGAAGGATTTAAATCCATGTCTCAGTCTGTATGATATCTAGAATGTAGGAATATATGATCCCTTATCTAAAGGATGCGTATCTGATAAGATCAAAGTTGACAACGACTTTTGAAAGCTACGATTGCAGATCAGGATCTAATGTCATACACATAATAGTTATTAGACTTATCCAAGTGGGAGACTGTTGGATCAGTGTCTAAGTCCATAACTATTTTTGGTATGTACTTGACCCGATGGTGCATGGTCCTTTTGGGTTGCCTTCACCAAAGCAACTTGATAGGATGAATCATGGAGAGAAAGGATTAATTATGATTTATTAATATATTATGAGAATAATATGTTAAAGGAGAAATCATATTATTTAATTAATATTAGTCAAGAATTAATTGATAATTAATTTTGTGGCTAAAAGAGATTAATGAAAATTAAGGGACTGGAACTGTAATTATAAGATAATTGTATTTGGGCTATGGATCACCTTGGAATAATAGGTTGGACGAATTCTATGGGGAAACCCATTAGAAATCGTCCAAGGGATATTCTAAAAGGGTCCATGGGCTGCTTAGGGCTTAAGCAGTCACATTAGGGTTTCCTAGTTGAAAACCCTAATAGCTTACATGTATACATAGTACCCTTAAGCCCCAAAAACGTGGCTAAGAGTTCCACTAGGGTTTCTAGACGTTTTGGGCAGCCTCCTCTCTCCTTATTCTTCATCCTCTTGCTCTTGGTGTTTGTGAACCATTAGAGGAGTGACAATTGTGACTTTAAGCTTTCTAAAGTCATCACAAGGAGGATTTGAGATTGTTATTGCTACATAACAATCAAGGTAAGATCTAAAAACACTTTCACATGTTAATATGATTAATTGTATGCTAGATCTAGGGTTTAAAGTCTTGGATGAATTGCATGAACAATAGAGAAACCTAGATCCAAGCATTAAGGTTGCATGAGCACATAGGATGTTTTTATGGCTAAAACCCATCAGGCCCGATGTCGGAGCAAGTTCGATGTCAGGCCATTCCCGATGCAGCAGGGCGAGGCCCAGTATGCGATTATGTGTATATATGTGGTAGGTTGGGGAACTCACTAAGCTTTGTGCTTACATTTTTCAGTTTTGGTTTCAGGTACTTCCGGTAGCGGAGGGAAGAGCTCGAGATAATCGCATGGCACACACCATAATTACTCAGCCTGGGATGTTTACTTTGATAATAAGAACATGCTTTGAATTAATACTCTGAATTTATGTTATGAATGATTTCATGGTTTTATAAATGTAAGTTTAAGTAATGTTTTCCAAACGAAATTTTTAGACCATATTTTTAGGACGTTATATCATGGTTTTTGGGGCATTACAAATACAAAGGTGCGAAAGGCAATTCAACTTCGGATATGACGATAATATCGAAAAGAGTTGCAACAAAAGAGGCTAAGAAAGAATTATTAGCTTCAGGTTCTACTATGTAGATGACAAACTAGATGTTTTGGTTAGAAAGTGAGAAAAATGACATTTATGTCATAAGAGAACTTGAAGCCTCATATGTGACTATAGGTAAATGGAATGATCTTATCTTAGAATTTATCACCAAGTGTTCCAGGATGAAGTAGAACCACGAGGTGTTTCAAGTTATATTTACCCATGTAATAGAAGCATGCCTTTCTGGGTATTATATATACGCATAATCAGTTTATAGAGAATGTTTTTCATGAGACTCATTATCACGAATAAGTGAAGTTTTTTATTATTCTCTGATTTCTTGAGAATACTAATGAGGATATGAAAGCAGTGATGGGCGACAAAGTTGAAAACCCAAAAAGATCGCAAAATAATTAAGTTCGTGAACTTTGTTATTTAATCCTTAGTGATAAAAGGAATGGTTGTTTATGGGAATTTTGATGAAAAAATAGTTGTTTAATTTTAGTGAAATTTTATTCAACGTGGTTGATGATTCAATGATAAAACTAGGCCAACATGTTGACAGTCTGTCATAAAAGAACCTGGAATAATATGATGAGTATTAAATGAGATGATTTAGTATTGTGGGATCATATTGCATAGACTGCCCTTTCTTGGGATGGACGTGACGTTCTTTTATGTAATATAATGCTTTGTAGGTTAGATGTATCAAATGGTTATACGGGGATGGAGTTGGCTTAAATGCTTAATAGAGGGTTCTCATATTTCTTCAGGATAGGGGAGGGGTGTGGACAAAAATTATTTGATCTATTAATGCCCTTCATGATAGAGATTATATTCCTAGATCTTCTACGTCTAGGATTCTTGGGAATGGTGATGATACACAATTTTGGAAGATATATGGTGTAATGGTTCTTTACTCAAACAACAGTTCCATAGGCTATTTGATTTATCTAATTCTCAAGATGCTATGGTTAGTGGTTTTTGGTCTTCCACTGGATGTGTTTTTCTTGGTGTCGTTAAACAAGGGGAGGTGCGGAGTCTGATCAACTTAACAATCTCATTGAGTTACTAAATTCAGTTTCATTGGGTTCTCAGCAGGACAAGTGGGTCTAGTCTTTTTATCATTCGTGTTATTTTTTTGTCTGCTAGGAGGCTTATTGATTTTCATTGATTGCTTCAGGCGGGAACGTCGACCATAATGAATAGATTCGTCCTGATTAAGATTGGAGCTTCTTCTGGTCAGAACGAAGCTAGAAGACAGAGGCTTGTATTTGGACTCAACTTTGTGTCCTATTTGCCATTTGGAGACTATTTCACTTTTTTTTTTCTCAATGTTCGTTAGTAGTGTAAATTTGGAATTGGATGGCTAAGTGATTGGATTTAGATCTTCCGGTTTTTATTTATGTGGTGAATATGGTGAATTGGAGTGACACGGGACTAGCAGGGACGGTTCTTTTTGGGCGCCCGTAGTAGCACCGACAACCCTTGCTTTTTCTGTATGCAGTGTAAATTTTTCGATTTTATTTTCTTTTTTCTACTTACCGGCAACACCTACTACCAAATCTTGCGTCCGTCCCTAGGAACTAGTGACGAGATTGAAAATGATGATTATTGATTTTATCTTTATTGTGGTTATTTGAGTTCTTTGGACGTACCAAAATGCAATATTATTTCTACGGTCTAAGTTTAAGAAACAATTTATTTTTATAGTATTGTTAGATGATTTCTTTTGTTGTGGTTATCCGAGCATAAAAACGATATAGATTGCTAGGTAAGAGAAAATATGAGAATTATTTTTGAAATTTTGGTACTCTACTCAAAAAAGTTTTCTTCTAGATACAATTTTTTTTTTTTTATAAAAAGGCAATTCCAATTATTGAATTAAAATGTTACACGAAGCATCATTTAGTCGTTTGAAAACTTTAACCCACGAATATCACGATGGGTGCTTATGCCTAAAAATCAAATCAAACGAGACACATTTTGTCTTGTTTTCCAATTATTTATTTTTAAAAATAATCATTATTTTAAATATGATAATAACAATAATACAAATTAAAAGGATAAAACAATTTTAAAATCTATATAAATTAAAAAAAAACATTTCAATTTTTTTTTCAACCAATTTAATCTACTTTTATTTAGCTGGTTATTTATTTATTTAAACTTAATAATAGAAAAAAAAATGTTAAATGATCAATTCATTAGAAATAACTTGAAATTGCAATATGTCATTGTAGATCTACATAGCTTCACTTTAATTATTGTGTCATTGTGTGTTATATATGTTTATGGAACAATATCATGGCAAAGGATTCTTGCTTTTGTTATCATTTATGATGCCAGGTTTTTTTTCAAACTACTATTATTTAAATTATAATTAATTCCGAATATATTGAAATTAATTTCCCAATAAACCAGTCACTCTCAGATTTGATCAATTTCTTCCCGTGAGCAGACCAAGGTCTTCCTTCTTCGCCGGCCGGACTCCTCGATTCTCGTCGGCGCCGTCGTCTGCTTCACGATCTCGTCTCCAAAACCCTCCGAAAACTTCAAAATCATTTTAGCCTTCTGTTTAATTTGTTTCATATTTCAGAAATCTTAAATTTAGGGTTTTTTTTAGTTTTTATTATTTGGGGGACAATTTATCGAAGGGATGCTAATCACACTGAATCCCGTAGATATCATCATCAGTTATGTTCCGCCGTCTTAAATGGTTCATAGCTGGTTTCAATCAACAGAGAACACCTAAACCGAAGGTCGATGCGAAGCGCTTGTCTCTACCTAGGGAACATCATAACTACAATAATTCAAGAACTCGAAATCGCAAGTCAATGTTGGAAGCCGTTCACGAAGTTGCAATTTATATCCATAGGTTTCATAACCTAGACCTATTTCAGCAAGGGTAACGATTAATGTATTATCACTTCATATTTTTTGCTAAAGTTATTCTCTTTCCATCGGATCAATCCATGGAAGTACTTCCCTTTTCGAAAAAAGCTGCACTCTGACTTTGATCTCAAACCCAGTACTTTTCAGTTCATTTTTTTTGAATTTCGATCTACAACAAACAACTTTTTTGTAATTTTATTACTTATCATGAAGTTGGATTAGATTTTAGCTCAATGTTGTAACCGGAAAGCATTATTTGATCGACACCAGATTCAAATCTGCTATGTTTTTTTTACAGGTGGTATCAGATCAAGATTACCATGAGATGGGAAGATAGCGACTATGCATCTTCTCTGGGAACTCCTTCAAGAGTGGTTCAATACGATGGTATCTACGCAATTATCTTTGACCTGTTAACTTTTATTAAGCTATTTCCAGCCTCAAAACTAATATCACGCAACATTTTATATGAACTACAGCTCCTGATCTTGGTTCTGATAATGTATTGGGAGTATGGAAGATTGATGACACAGACCATAGCTTTTCATCACAACCTTTCAAGATTCGATATGCAAGACAGGATATTCTTCTATCAGTCATGATAGCTTTCAACTTATCTCTTGGTAAATTTGAGGTCTCTCTCTCTCTTTCTCCCTCTCTCACTGTGGTTAAATTAGTAAATGTAGGAGAGAAGTTCTGTCTTCTACATGTTATCTTGCCAATGATGATCACCTACAATCTTCAGGGTCCAATCACATCTGCTGTAATTCTGAAATTTGAGCTGCTGTATACACCTGTTTTGGAGATTGGGTTAGCACACAATACATTACTTCTTTATTAATACTATAGTGATTCTAATATTTGACTGGATATAGTGTTTTTAATGCTCCATCTTCAGCTCCAATATGCAGGACTCTTTGGAAGTAACCCCTGCTGCAGTTCATGAATTCAGAATTCCACCAAAAGCTCTTCTTGGACTACATTCATATTGTCCTGTTCATTTTGATGCTTTCCATGCTGTGCTTGTTGATACAACTGTCCACATCAGCTTACTAAAAGGTGGTGTTCATACCATGAAGACACCAAGGTTGGTTAGAAGTTTTGATTTTCAATCCACAAAATCGATTTTTCTTTCTGAATTTAAATTATTAATGTTTTTTGTAGTCGCAGCAATTCTCTTAGTCATGAAGAAGCTTCCAGTGACAACAAGTATGACAAGGAAAAGCGTGTATGCATTTTCTACATTCTTGATTATATAAAATATTTAGAGAATTTTCGATATACTGATAAAATTATAATCATGCTACTGAAACAGGTTTTGCTTGTGAAGGCATTTTTAATTTCACGTGCAAATTTACTTCAAGAGCTAAAAAATCTTAGTAAAGCAATAAATCAAACAATTGATTTAAGTGGTTTCACTTCACAACATGATGAAAGTGAAACAGAGTCTCCTAATGTTTCTAAGGTTTGTGACTTTCTTCACTTGTTCTTTAAATTATGTCTTATACTTATTCATCTTATATTTTAAACAGATTCCAAATGGATCCATTGATACGCAGAGTGATTATCTTTACACCCTACAAAACGATGAACTCTATCGTCTTTTTCATTCCCTTGGAGACCAAATTCTCTACTTATGGAGTACATTTCTCAAGTTTCACAGGTTTGCTTTTCTTTTCTTTTTCCAATTTTGTCCTTTTTCTTATGAGTATATTTAATTATTTATCACAATCTTATCTTTTATTCCACAACAGGGCTAACAAAGCAAAAATTTTAGACCATTTGCGTAATCAATGGGGTATTGATCGTAGAGCTGAGTGGTCAATATGGATGGTGTACTCCAAAGTTGAAATGCCTCTCCAACCAATCAGAAACGAGGTTGATGACTCAGCATACAAAGGTCCACGTGGCACTGTCCCTGTTCTCAGAAAGATAACCGAAGATGTAATTTATCTCACACCCGTTTTCACTTATCAAAAATTACAAACATGAAACATGTTATTGAATTGTTTTGCTGTCCATTTTTAGCCTTCTGAGGCTGCAGCAATGAGAGCTGAGCTACATCGACGTAGTATTGCACAAATGAGGGTGAGCTGGTGTTTTTTGAGTTATTTTTTATGTTGAAATTATAATTTTTTTTTTAAATGTATGCAGATAAACAGTTGTTCAATTCAAGATCTTTATATTTTTGGAGATCCCTCACGTATACCAATTATAATAGTAGAACGTGTTGTAAATGCACCATTGCGTTCACCTAGTGGAAATTCTTACTTCAGAAATATGGATCAAAAAGCTACTACTAATGGTGTTCTTCAAGAAAATGATTCAAGAATTTCCACCAATCATCAAAAAGGACGTGTTTTGAAGATTGCTGTGTTTGTTCATGGTTTTCAGGTACCCTGTTTGATTCCATTCCATTCCATTCTTTTGTGATTCCATTCCAACTGAGATGAAAAAAATAAACAGGGGCATCATTTGGATTTACGCCTTGTAAGGAATCAATGGCTTTTAATAGATCCAAAACTTGAGTTTCTAATGTCTGAAGTGAATGAAGATAAAACATCTGAAGACTTTAGGGACATGGGATTAAGATTAGCTAAAGAAGTGATTGCTTTTGTTAAAAAGAAAATGGATAAAGCCTCAAGATCTGGTGGCTTAAAAGATGTTAAACTCAGCTTTGTGGGCCACTCCATTGGAAATGTCATCATTAGAACTGCACTTTCAGGTAAACAATATTATAATTTATATACACATTGGAAATGTCATTCTCCACATGCTGACGTGGCAATTCTTTTTATATAATTGAAATTTGTAGAGAGCATCATGGAGCCATACCATAGATACCTGCATACATATGTGTCAGTTTCGGGCCCACATTTAGGGTATCTGTATAGTTCAAATTCTCTTTTCAATTCTGGATTATGGCTTTTGAAGAAGCTTAAGAACACACGTTGCATTCATCAGCTCACTTTCACTGATGATATTGATCTTGAAAACACTTTCTTCTACAAACTTTCCAAGGTACATAAAAAAAACATATTTTCTTTTTAGTTTTCATGATTCTAATTCCTTGTTTTACTTTCAGCAAAAGACGTTGGAGTATTTCAAGAACATACTCCTTCTCTCTTCTCCTCAGGTATTCTACCAAAAAAAAAAGAGTAAATTACAACTTTGGTCCTTGTGCTTTACCAAAGGCAATATTATGTAAAACACAGGGACCATATCTGCAATAAAATGCGAACTTTTTGAGGGAGTTTTGGAATTTGGACTGAACTTGGATGTTTAAGTAAAGTATAGGGACCGAATTTGTAATTTTACTCGATTTTTATACAGGATGGTTACGTTCCATATCATTCTGCGCGAATGGAGATGTGTCAAACGTCATCAGGAGACTACTCAAAAAAAGGGAAAATTTTCCACGAGATGCTCAACAACTGCTTAGATCAAATCCGATCTCCATCTTCTGAACAAAGAATGTTCATGCGATGTGATGTGAACTTCGATATCTCATTACAAGGAAGAAACTTGAACACCATAATTGGTCGAGCTGCTCACATAGAGTTTCTGGAAACAGATATTTTTGCCAAGTTTATTATGTGGTCTTTCCCTGAACTTTTTCGCTGATGTCAGATCAACACGCCATACGAGACACTGTAAATTATAAATTTATCAGATAGAAAGTGGGAAAGGGGTATCGATCAGGTAGGTGATTATAAGATTATAAGTTATAAGTTATAACCCACTTTTTAAGTTATAATGTAGATTTTTTCAGATATGATTCTACGTGGGTAGAATTTTAAGCTTAAGCGCCAGGGGTGTTGTAGTTTTTTTATAGGTGGTGCGAAGACGATTATAATATAGTGTAGATGAAATCCACTATGCTCTTTTATATTTATGTATATTTTTGGTTTTTATCGTGAAGATATAGTTAATGTTGGGTGTTTGGTAAGTTTTTGGATGAATGTATACAAGGTGTTCGATGAAATGCCCCAACGAATAAAAATACAAGAATTTTAGGTTTTTAGAAGGTAGAAAATGGCAAGTTCATAACTCACTTTAATTTTTAAGTTATAACGTGGATTTTCAGATAATTCTCGGATAGAATGTTGTGTCAAGATTGTAACATTTATAGGTGTTGGGAAGACAAAAAGACAATGATATTAGATGGATTCAAGTGTTTCCCTTAATTTTCCTGTATGATTGCCAACTTTTATGACTAGAAGCACGCTTTGTTGTTTATATATATATATATATATATATATATATATATATATATATATATATATATATATATATATATATATATATATATATATATATATATATATATATATATATATATATATATATCGGACTAAATACAAGGAACAGCAATGTAATTTTTATGTATTTGTCTATTATAAAATCAAACTTTATTTATTTCTATTGCAACATCATATATTGCGATTTCATTATATGTCCAATTTTTAGGATTGATGCTTACAAGGTGGTTGATGAAATGTGACGAACAATAAAGCACACCGAATTTAGTTTTTTACCCTTTAAATTGTTTGGTGCGATTAATCATTTATGTGTCGTCAAAACATTAGATGTAAATTTTTATGTTTTAGTAACAAGCAACATACGTAAGGTTTCTTTACATTGCGGGCTTTTTTAGAAATAGCATGGTGTTCCAACTGGTAGAGATTTGGAAAAGAGTCATTGTGGATTCCATTAAAGATTTCTCTTTTTCATGGTTCGCTAATGGAAATCGTAAGGTTTCTTTAGATTGGATTATATGGTTAAAATAAATACCCTTTGAACTTTTTGTAATGTTTTTCTAGCTACTTGTTAGTTTTTGTTGGTTTAAAAAAAATAACAGCTGAAGTACAGTTTAGATCAATTATGGCAACAATTGTGATTTACTCTTGAAATAAGTAGGAATAATGGTGTATTTGATAGAGAAAAACATAAAGAAATGAAATTGTATTTATCATAGCAAAGTTCGAATTACTTTCAACCATTTGATCTACAAACATGATCATAATTTTTGGTCAACGACAATCTTCTAAAACAATTGATTGATGAAGCTATTATATTTTGTTATTTTGTTTTAGATGAATCATTTGTCTTGTAAAAAAAAAAAAAAAAAAAAAGGGAAATACAATTGGTCAAAGACAATGGTAATGATTTTAAGAATTAGAATCTGATAAATAAAGTTTTCATCAACATAATCTACTATTATACATTATATATGCATAAGTATTGCATACTTACATGATTAAAGTGAAAGATGATCACTTAATTTTATAAATAATCAATTTTGTTTTATTTTTATTATTTTGTTTATTCTTCTAAGTTTTTTTTGTTCGCTTAATGATCTTTAATGAATCGAATGTTTAATATGAATGTTCACACATGTTTTTTTACTTCATTTGGACAAAATAATTTAACGAGTTAAGCCTTGGCTTGATGTATTAAGACGCTAACTACTTACATATTTTCTTTATTTTTTTCTCATAACACATCTCACTTTAAAATTGATGATTATTATAAAATTTTGCTTCTTTGAAAAGCTATAGTAAAATGATAATTTTTTGTTATCATTCATTCAGTTCAACCAACATACGAAATAAACAAACATCATATATACAACACTCTAAGAAATTTTTTATCATTCATTCAATCATTTAACATGGAAAAAAAAAATACACATAAGCACCATAATGTGTTGAATTGTACATTCTGAATACTCGTTTATAATTCCAAAAACAACACCACCAAAAAAACATCACGCATCTTATTGAAATGAGTTAGAGTATATAAATGTCGACAGTCGTGTTTTAATAGGTAGTAAAACGACTGCATCTCAAGACGACCTCTGTCATTAAACAACCGCTAACCTGCAAAGAAGGCAAGAAGTAAATCAAAGTGACTTGTAAGAGAAATCTAGAATAAATCAACATAAAACTCTCTAAATCCGATAACAAGTAACTATAACTGCAACTAGGCATTATATAATCATTTTATGAAGTTATATCGGTTATTATAGTCTGTTTTATCTTTGTAAAATCTTTAGAACATAATTTTATCTTATAACCGACATAACAAACACTAAAATCAGAGAGAATAAACTTTCTACTATTCAAATCTAACTCCAAGTATAAGGATATATAGATAGAACACCAAAACAAACAATGTAGCGTTTGTAGTCCAACGGTTAGGATAATTGCCTTCCAAGCAATAGACCCGGGTTCGACTCCCGGCAAACGCATTTTTCATTTTTTTTTTTGGTTTCAGAAGAACAATATCTCGTTTGTTTTGATAAAAGCGTTTGTAGTCCGATATCTGTTTTGTTTTCTTTCTCGTCTACATCTTTTTCCCAAAAAGATGCTAAATTTATCTGGTTTCTCTTGGTAACTACTGAACCATCTGCGATTTTGCGAATTATTATCAGTCGGGTGGAAGAATTACAGAAAATCTCAATCGACCAGGGGTTTTCAAGCTCTTATCACCTGTAAGTTCATCACCTATAAACTATTTTACAAGATTAGTCCCATGAGTTTCGTAATTGTAAACTACCAACAACTTTATCTCGATGCTTTAAAATGGTTTTTTAAAGCTATGGGTTTGATTGGTTAACTGCCCACCATGTGTTCGACGAAAATCCTCACTCACGTACTTCACTTATAAATCGCTGTTTATATCTTTGACACTCTATTTTTTCACCTTTTGCAGGATTTTACATAACTTAAATATGGAATTATCTCTATCGCATGCTTTATCATATACGCATGATAAATCCCCGATTTCTCTCAAATCAGATTTCCTCCCTTCTCATTCTTTCTGGAACAGAAATCATAACAAGATACAGAAACCACAAAACCTATCTTTTACAATCACTGCATCCATCAAACATGTTCGCGACCCATCACTCGACTACCATGTAGTAAAGCAAAACAAGATCCGATTTGTTCAAAAGCTCAAAACTTTACTCCTTTCAAAACCAAAACACTACATGCCACTTCACATCCTAGGCAAATGTCGATCCTACCTATCTCTCTCAAAACCACGATCCCTTCTCTCCATGATCCATCGTTACCCCACCATTTTCGAACTCTTCACTATCCCTTTACCTTCAACACCATTAAACGCCACAAAAACACTCCCACAACTCTGTGTACGTCTCACTCCATCTGCATCTTCTCTTGCAATTCAAGAATCTAACCTCAAAACTGCCATGTCAGACTCTTTAGCCAACAAACTTCAAAAACTTCTCATGCTCTCTTCTCATCAAAGACTACTTCTATCAAAATTAGTCCACATTGCCCCTGATCTTGGCCTCCCTTCTAACTTCCGTTCTAGACTCTGTAATCAATACCCTGAAAAGTTTAAAACTGTTGACACGTCATATGGGCGTGCACTTGAGCTTGTGTCATGTGACATTGACCTGGTCAACCCTCTACCGATTCCGGAAGTCAAACCTCTTGGGTTGATTGTAGATAGACCTTTGAAGTTTAATCGATTGAGACTACGAAAAGGGCGTAATGTGAAAAGACATCAAGAACAGTTTTTGATTAAGTTTAGAGAGATAAAAGACGTGTGTCCTTATCGAACAAAAGTTGGAGAGTTTCCAAAAGAATCTTTGAAAGCAGAGAAGAGAGGTTGTGATGTGGTGAGGGAGGTGTTAGGTATGATGGTTGAGAAGCGGACTTTAGTTGACCATTTGACTCATTTTAGGAAAGAGTTTGGGTTGCCAAATAAGTTGAGGGGTATGTTGTTGAGGCACCCCGAGCTTTTTTATGTGAGTTTGAAGGGGGATAGGGATTCGGTTTTTCTTGTGGAAGGGTATGATGATGATGGTAAACTTTTGAAAAAAGATGAGTTGTTGATGATGAAAGATTTGTTAATGGATTTGGTTAGGGAAGGGAAAAGGATGAGGAGAGAGAGAAGGAATGAGGTTAAGAATGATTTTAGTTATGGAAGTAGAGAAATCAATGGAGATTATGAGAGTGTTGATGAGATTGATGATGATGATGATGATGTTGTGGATAGTTTGGATGACTTATTTGATGATGATGATGATGATGATGATGATGAAGATGATGATGATGATGATGAAGATGAGGGAGGAGAATTTTGGTCTAACAAGTTTGTTTCTGTAGTTGGGAGTGAAGAAAAATGTTTAGAGCCTTGGTGATGATTGTTAATGGCTTTGTAAGTATGTTGTTATGTTGAGATTTGAGAATTAATTATATGAAAACTTGTTATGTTGTTAGTAAAATCTCTATATGTATAAGGTTATTGGTTGGAGTATAGTATAAAAGAAAATAAAATTGTGTGCTTTTGTTGTTATAAATAGAAGTGATGGTGAAGCTTTTGTGATAGGATTTAATAGTTGGCATAAATTTGAGACTTAATCTTTCTTGTGGGTGGTATTAATAGTTCTTAGTTCTTAAAACAAATTATTTCAAGATTTAAGGAGACGAAATCAATGTAATGTTGTTGATCTTTATAAACAAAGTGATGGTGTAAAAATGGGTATTGAATGCAATCAAATGCTCTAATCGATGATGCTAGATATAAGTTGAAATGTGTGTTATGTTTTTGTAGACATGATGAGTCTTCAACATCTATTTAGAAATGGAATTTTTTGGAATTGTAAAATGTGATTTGTGATATGTATGTTGTCAAGGTTACATTACAAAATGCTATGGTTACAAGGTAAACCTTAGGGTCGTACCGAGACAATACCATTTCTTGCCATAAAATATCTTCTAATTTAAAAAAAAAAAAAAACAAACAAAATTTCCATCCCAATAGCAGATACTTTCAAAGAATCTAATATTGATTCAACATAAGGTACATGTTGTAGCGAATTCTGAATTTGGTATCGGTTAGGTGTTGATTGTGCCGAATAATCACCATGATTATGCTAGGGTGTTCCCAGTGGTGGACCTTAGTGGGGCATTTAGGGTTCTGGGCCACTGTTCAATTTCCGGTATGCAGTGTAATTTTTTTTTTCTATTAGGTGCATCCGCTTGAAGTACGATGGACACCCCTATTAAAACAGTCTGCGTCCGCCGCCGGGTGTTCCCGTACAAGATAGAAACGAGGTGATATGTAAAGACGATAGAGTTGTTGATGCCAAGGATGAATAAGATTAAAGGTGGAAAATGAGTAGTAACTTGAAATATTTGAAGTAGTACCAAGTTTATTTAACTACACATCTATCCACTTATTTTATAAT